ATAATGGCTCATCTACAGGAAGCCTTTCCCAACCACTCTCAATTCTAGGGAGTTCCCTCGCTGAGTACGTCCTATTTATCCTTCACATGGAACGATCCGTATATAGTTGTTCATCTGTTGTCACCTCTATTAGATCATGAGCTCTTTGAAGGAAGAGCCTGGTTCTTGCCCTTCTGCGTGGACAGCACTTAGTACAGTGTTTGGCAAGTAGTAGGTGCTTAATCAATGTTTCCTGACCGACTGATCTTGTCTCTTTTGTCCACCCGTTGTAGACTATTTCATTTTTTTTTCTTTGTATCTTTAGCACCTATCAAAGTGATTATAGATCTTGAGCAGGAAGGAGCATTAGAAATCAACTAGTCTATCCCTCTAATTTTACAGATGAGGAAACTGACACTCAGACACGTTAGGTGATTTGTCCAAGGCCACAGGTAGTAGACATCAAGAGAACTCTGCAAAGAGTAGTGGCTGAATGCTGTTGTTGTTCTTCCTTCATCTTCCAAGAGGACCAAAGACCTTGTGATTGGATGATTTCTTGACTTGCTTCTGAAGCAGAGTTACCTCACTTTCTCTTCCAAAATCACCAAAGTCCAGTGGCAAGACAAAGGTCAGGACTACTAGCAATGACCCGGGATGCAGGGGATAAACTTGGTGTCTCTAAAGTTTGATCAAGCTCTAAGCACCCCACAGTGCCTGCTTTACCCACCTTCGTGGCCACTAAACAATTTGTTCTCATCTACTCATTCAGGGGAAGTCTGCACATGCTTGTGGTAGACACCCCGCTAAATTCACCAATCACTTTGTGGCCCATCGGTTACCTTCAACCTGGTTGAGTCATTCTGCCAAGATGGTTTACCAGGGTGTGGCCAAGTGTGCATGCTACAGCTTCTTGGAGCCACAGGTGAGAACTGGGTGACAAGTGGACACCAAAGGTAAATGAGCTTAACATATAGAGGGACGTAATAGATGCTAACAAAACTGAAGGAATGTGGAGGCAGTGTGCTCTCATGGAAAGAGCTCTTTTCTCAGAGGATTATGCCTCTCCCTCAGTGAGAAAAGGAGACAGCTGGACTGAGGGCTGCTGGCCAAACTTTCAGTTACAGATCTATTATCCTATGACTCAACCCATATTTCTCAATGGTTTCTCAAAATAATCTATCCCCAGGAACAGATAATGGAGTCCTAGGGTTCCATATATACATATATACTTATACATATATATATAATATATACATATATATATAATTTATTTATTTATTTGTGTGTGTGTATACACACACACACACATATATATACACGCAAAAATATATACAAGATAGAAACAGTATTTGACAATCTATAAGACCTAAGGAAGCAATGAACCTGTTTCACCAAGAGTTTTTTGCTTTTAAACCCCATAGATTAAGGGAGGAAACAATATGGCAACATAAAAAAGCAATGGTCCTAGAGTCAATGATCTCAGTTCAAATTCAGCTGATGACTCTTCATGTCGATTTGGCTAAGTTCTCCTCAGCTCACAGCTCCCATATTTATAAAGGGAGACAGGTAGGCTAGATGAGCAGAGTTCCCTTCTACCTTTAAACCATCTGAATCTATGATTATTATGAGTACATAAAATACTGTGACAGAAAAATGTGGTGGGAGAGAGCTGGTTCTAGATTCTGAAGCAGGACCTAGAATACTGCTGCTGATTCTTACTATCTGTGTGACCACAGGCAAATCACACAACTTCCCTGGGTTTCCTCATCTGTAAAATGAAGGTGATGGCCTAGTTGACCACTACAGTTGTCATCAGAAATATATCTAGAAACTTGTGATAATAATAACAGCTGTGGTCCATCACTCTAAGGAATCTTGAAATTTGTAAGACTAGGAATAGCTTAAAAGCGGGGGGGGGGGGGGGGGGGGGGGCAGCTAGGTAGCGCAGTGGATAGAGCACTGGCCCTGAAGTCAGGAGGACCTGAGTTCAAATCCGGCCTGAGACCAAACACTTCACACTAGCTGTGTATCCCTGGGCAAGTCACTTAATTCTAATTCCCTCACCCAAAAAAAAAAAAAAGCTAAGAGATGGTAAGAAGTATAAGGGTAATTATACAGACAAATAAATTAATCTGATAAAACCCATGTGACATTTCTGTATCTGGCTTATGCCTATAAAACTTAAGAAGTATCTGAATTAGAGCAAAAGAATTCTTTTTCGGGCAGTCACATCTTACCATTTTATAGGACTAGGTGATATGAAAAGCCAAGCCAAGGCCACTTCAACAATAGTAAGTTTATGAACAACTATATCACCCCTGGGGAAGTCACTTAACCTCTCTAAATTAAATAATATAATTTATATGAAATAATAATTATTATTAGTTGTGATACAGGTCAGAATACTTGGATGAGTCCTGGCTCTGAGACTTAACTGTGTGACTTTGGGTAGTTCTTTTAACCCTCCTGAGCTTCCCTTTACTCACCTGCAAAAAGGGGATCATGGTAATTGCACTCTCATAGGACTGCTGTGAAGGTTTGTATAAACAATAAATTCTTACAAAAATGTAAGTTATTATTATTTTTACATGGAGATAGCTGGGTGGCTTGGTGGATAGAGCACTGGCCTAGAGTCAGAAAGATCTGAATTCAAATCCCACCTAGCTGTGTCACCTAGAGCAAATCACTTAGTCTCTGTCTTAATTCACGGAAGAAGGAAATGGCAAACCATTCCGTATCTTTGCCAAAAAAAAAACCACATGAGGTCATGAAGAGTTGGACACGACTAAACAATAACATTATTTTTGCTGATATTCAAGATGCCACGAGACTTAAATAGGTTAACCTCTCTCTGTGATACTGTGTGATCAATACAATTTTCCAGATGGTAATGATAGTGGAAATTGAACCTAGAAAATTATTAACTTAGAGGCCTAGCTATTCTTGTTTAGCACTTCTAGAAAAAAGTGATTTTCCAGTTAAACCAGGACTAGCAAATACCTCAAGCGTCAAGGCCACTCCACTGAAGGCCCACTCTGCTGCCTCATCATGGCTTGGCAGTGGCATGTGGCTCATGAGGAATACGCAGGTGGTGCCTAAGCTCTGACGCATCCTCCTGAAGTACAGAAGTTTCCAGTATGATCTTGCAACAGACTAGAGGAATAGTGGTGAGGTTAATCCTCAGAAAGGAGGCTACCAGGCGACTGACTTCTTTTGTGATGACGTCAATAACAAGATTCTCTATTAAGGAACAAAGAGCTCTTATGGAGGGACAAGAAGCTGGATCACTCAATAAAAAAGAGTCTTCCCAGGCACATAATAAACACATTAAATAACTGATCGTCTTGTGCTTCATTTTGCTGGAAACAGATACAGGCAGTTGCATTTTATTTTGATTACCAAAATATTTTAAAAGATAAATTTTGTAAAAACATTTTTTTTCTAAAATGGCCAAAATGTCTTCAAACAAAACTCATTATTTAACAATGGAGATCAAACTGTCCAATTAAGGACCTGTTCAGGGACATGGAATTCAAACGTTGATGTCATCTCAAAACTCTAAATCCTACTGGCTAGAAGAAGTGTGAAAGGAGGGGGAAGAACCATATCATGTTAAAATCTTTAACCAATTAGCCCTGAGATGGGAAACTATTTACCACAGCAAACTATTTCAAAATCAGACTGAAATGCTTCATTATAACTAGATCAATGGCACTTGTAAAAGTGTTAGAAATCAAGTAAAAATTCCCCAGAAGAGTGAAGTACAAAATCATCATACAATACAGATTAAACTTGCAAATCTAAGATGTTCGTGACGTCAGAATACTGGCCTTATCAGACCAATCATATCACATATATTTGTTTCAAAAGACCTCTAAACTGCTTAACTTCTTAATGCCCAAGCCATATCATAATGGGGGGAAAGGGGAGTGAGGGAAATGGGAAAGAACAAAAAAGAAGAAAGGGAGAATGAGGAAAAGAAAAAAAGGAAGGTTCTACACATTTGATTTCTAAGCCAATTCAATTAAAAAACCTACGTCAATCAATTCAAGCAAACTTCTCATTAACTTACAATTTTTTTCCTACATGCAAAATGAATGTTAGAAATTACCTCCATGGAGCCATAAAAAAGATTCTGGAGTGTGGATGAAAGACTATCACAAAACACTGAAATTTTCTAAGTTTATCTAAAGCTCTCTAAGTCCAAAAAAAGACTCTCTCCTCTAACCCCTAACATCTCCCACTCCCCCACATTAGAAGTTAATGCTAATTTGCCTTGCAGTAAGCGCCTTTCTTGAAGTGGCTTTAAACAAGGAAAATCCTTTCTAGATGCTTTCAGTGAAACACCATCTGAATATTTTTACTAGAGAAATTATTCCATCCACATATGGCAATATCCATTCCAATTACTGATAATTTAAAGGCAGCAATGGCCAGAAAAAAAATCATTCTTTATTGGAGGAAAAAAAAAATTATCCGCTTCCTCTTCTACTTCAAAGGCCAAAGCATTTCATTTAAACACAAAATCTACCTAGAATAAAAGTTTTGTTTTGTTTTTTCTCTTGAGCATAAAACACAGATGATTAAAATATCTCTACAAATTGTCTTTACAGTTCACATGCAATGGCTTTAGACACAGAGTTTAATAAATTTAACTGGGTGAGCATTTTTTAAGGCAATGTCAGATAAAATGGAAGAGAAGGTAAGAAAAAGAAGAGGAGAGAGGAGAGAAGAAGAATTTAGATTAATAAAGGAAGAAGAATGGGCCTCTAAAAGATGAAATGCAATAATCTCTTGCACATAATATATCAATTAGTCAGGGTGCCAGCATCAGAATTTTGGAGTCGCATCTTCCCAGATTAAATACTTGCTCTTGATTTATTATCACACATGCTTAAAATAATTAAGTACAATAAGTGGAGCAATCACCTCTAGAAGATAACATGGTAGACTGAATGTTTTTCACTGTACTGAATGTCTTCTACTTAATATGAGACTTTCATCTAAACTCTGCCACTTACCGAAGGGCAGCAGCATGGTAAGTGTCAACATAATCGGAAATGAAGAGCTCTCGATTCTTGATAACTGGGTCTGTAATGACAAGTTCTCGTCCAGAATCTGTTAGAAAAAGAAGGGCATAAGATAGGGGTTCTTAAAACATCCATCTTTCCTAAACCAACCACCTTACCTCCTATTCCAATTTACTACCATTTTTTAAAAAAATCATTGAAAATCCCCAAATTTATTTTAAACACATATAAGAGAATATGATGACTTGAGTGGGGTGGGCATCAAGATTGAGGACTTCATTAGTATGAGAAACTCCTAAGGTGGAAACTTCTTTCACCAATGAAAGTCAATAACTCATGTAAAGTATGGTGGTGGAACAGTTGCCTGTAGTACTGTTAAGAGATTTACCATGGTCACAAAGTAAGAGTCAATCAATCAATTAATAATGAAAGAGTAAGGCAGCACTTATTAAGCACTTACAATGTGCCAAGCACTGAGAATACAAGTAAAAAAGGGAAGATAATCCTTGCATTCCAAGAGTTTACAATATAAAGGGATAGAAAAATAAATAGTAAACTGGTGGCCAAAGAGGGACGTTTTGCTCTAAAGTGTCAGGGTATGCTAAATAGATCCAAAAGGCTATAAATTGGCACATCCTTTACAGAAGTACAATGTCAGGAGTATGCATTAGAGGCATGACTTGAACCCAGGTCTTCCTGCATCCCAGGCTGGCCTGTTATCCATTCATATCAAGTATGCCATATTGCTTTCACATAGTGATTTAGGGTAACAGTATTATGAAGTGCTATATAAAAAGTCCCATGTTAACAATTGGGGATACAAAGACAAAATGTTTTAGAGTCTCTGTCCTCAAGGAGTTTACACTCTGTTATGGGGGTTACAACATGTTTAAAAAAAAAAAAGGAAATCTGAAGACTACACAAAGTAATAGAGTAATTTCCAGAAATTGCTAATGTCAGGGTGGAAGAGAAGAGGTAAAGAAAAGGCTTGAGTTAGAGGGAGCAGGTCAGCGGAGGCAGTGAGGGGAAGTGGGGCATTACAGGAGGGGAAAACCTAGTTGTGCACAAAAGCAGGCAAAGATATTGATGGATGGACTGCAAGACAGAGACAACTACTAGTGACCAAGTCAGTCCAACTGGAATGGACAATGTATCAAGAGAAATGAAGTAAGTATGAAAAGGTGAGTTGATATGTATTATAGAAAGCTTTAAATGTCAGGCTGAGTAGTTCATATTTTATCCTAAAAGCAAAAGGGAGGCAGAAAGGAGTAGAATGTGACATGGTCACCAAAAAACATATAAAGTCTTAAAAGAGCAGGAGGGACATTATCAATTCCAAACTACAGAGCAATGGAGTCTGTTTGGTTTGTTTCTAACAAGCAACTATAATCTGATTAAATTGAATGAGTTCATCATTCTCAAGCCAAGGAGTCACACACCTGCATACTGGCAATTGCTGCATCTAATGGATGAAATCTGCCCCCAAAGCACACTAATTCTAGCCTTCAAAAGTTCAACTTTTAACTTTCTATCGAAAGTAAGCAAATTAGCCAACATACCTATATTTTCTATCACAACTCCTTTGGCATGAGCTCTCTGTCAAAATTTAACAAAATCTTAGCTAATCCTGCCCATTATATTTCTTATTTATAAAAGATCCAATTTTAGAAATGGTTTTCTGATCTCCATATACATTTTTCTTTGGCTTACTAAATACTGACTTTTCCCATGTTTCTACAAAATTTCAACTATAGTTCCCCAAAATTATCCTTTCTAGTTGTTCCTCATTACTGCTATACTATTCAAAGAAAAATTCAATCTCCTAAAGGTCTGTCCTACAAACCCAGATTTCTAAAAGGAACTTTGAACCAAAGGCTGGGAAAATACTCTGCTGATAAAGGAAGGAAAAAAATATTGTCAGAACAAGTATACTCTAGTAGGATCTAAGTATATATCTTAAAAGTTACTCATATATTGACAAATTTAATCCTTTTTTAGTAAACTAAGAAACGTTTTTAAAAAGAAAACTATAGATTCAATTCTGCATAAATGATTACAATGAAACTACAAAGAATAGTATTCAACAGAAAAGTTGTATCTCTTTTTTTGAAAACTTTAAGATTCAAAGAAGAAAAGTCTAAGATGAGACGTCATGTTTCTGCTAAATTTCATTTGAATTCTTACATGGTAAAATTAGAAAATTTATTCTTTTTGTCTATAGGTATAGACACATGTACAGTAAAGCTGTAGAATAAAGTACAAAGCTAGATAGAGGACAGTTTTGAGCACTATATTTTATACAAGCAGGGAACTAAGGCTGGATTGGCAATCATGAAATAACATTAAATTTGGACAAATTTTATTGTGAATAGAAAGAAACAATAATAAAAAACAGCACAATTCTCATCAAAAAATACACTCAAATACATCACTATTGTGCTCTGAGAAAACATCTACATCAACAAAAATTAATTTAGTAACAATTTCCAAAGAAATAAGTTACAGTTTTTTTTTAAAAAAACAATAGCACATTGTCGAGGTTAATGTACATCCGTGAACCTGCAGAAGGAAACAGCTTTTATAGCTTTTTTTTCCATAATACTGGGGCCAGGAGAAGAGAAGCAAAAGTGACAATATAATCCTATACGGTTTACAGTCTTGATCATAGGTCAAAATGGGGGGGAGGTGCGGGGGGCAGCCATGGAGATTTTTTTAGGTAAAAAAAATGGTGTAAAAATTATGATGCTACTATCTCTTAAAACAACAACAACAACAACCTCTTATTGACTGTTCTGAACAGCAATTCAAAGGAAAAGATAAATTAACACACATAAATACACATACAGAGTCCAGGCCTGTGATTGTAGTAGTTTCAGATAAGGAAACCTCCTCAGTATCTGCATCGCAACTGGTATCTTAGGCACTGACAAATTAAGTAGTTTTCCCAAGGGCACCTGACAAGTAGTATGTATGTATGGTTCAGAGTTCTACACTGAATCATGGTCATACTGACTCGGTACACTAGACAAAGCAATCTCTCAAGGGTTTTACACATACACATACATACACATACGCATACACACACACACAAGCACGCATGCATACACATAATGGACATAAGTCTTGGAAAACATCTTTTTATAAAAATAAATATATTCAGAGTATGTGCCTCAAATTTACTGATGTTACAAAAATCACTTTACATAACACACCTTAATTTAAGTCAAAAAGGAGAGGTTTTTTTACCCTTTTCAATTCTGCAGTCTGAGTAAATGAATTAGTTGTATGATATCTTAATCTATAAATCAAACACCTTACCCACCTCTTCCTGCAATGCTGTGGGCATTTAGAGTCTAGCTGACAGAAAACTGAAGGCTTTGAACTAATATTTAATATTGATTTATTTCCTGTGCTACTCTTGAATAACTTTTCTTTGGACTCTCCTTTGCAAACACTAAATGGCACTAACAGTAGGGAGCAGTATTTACCATTTTCATTGTGCCGGTCTTGAACCAAATGCTGATAGACAGAATCAGGAACTTCAGACTGACGATAGTACCATTTGACATTCATAAGAAGATGGTCCCTCTTGCTCTGAAAAAGAAAATCTAAAGCATTACTGGAAAGAAATTCACAACAACATGAATATACTCATTAAAGATCACTTAGCACTTTAGTCCTTGGGGGTTCCCAGTAAGGAAGGCAAAAGGTACAAGTCAATTACCTGTGGGTCAGATCCTATTATTTAAAAATAGAGAAAGAAATAAAATCAAAAATACCTCAAAACAAAAAAAAAAGTCTAAGCCCTGAATAATGACCATTTATACAATATTTGATGCAAAACATCAACCAGAAACATGCCAAAGTTGGGATGTCTAGCTAAAACAGCTTAGTTGAACAGCCTAGTTAATCAGAAAACCTTTTATATTTTGTACCTTATGTCAAACTTCTATAAAATGTGTATTTCATCCTTTCTGTCTTGATCCAGTGGACATACATGCATTAAGAACCAATGGAAAGACAATGTAGTAGGGATAAAGATAAATATTAAAAATATCATAGTGGTACCTTCAAACAACTCATATTCTTTGAGGTAGAAACGGAAGCCCAGGGGCAGGCAAGCACTTACATAAATAAATATAACACAAGAGAAAGTTGAAGTAGATACAGGATAGGTCCAAAATGCTTTTGGAAAAGGTGAAAAAAGAAGAAAAGGAGGTAAGATAGCAGAAAGGGCAAGGACTCTGGAAACAAAGGGCATAGGCTCAAAGCCTGACTCTGAAACTGACAGCCAATGTGACCTTGACCAAGTCACTTTAATTCCCTGGACCTCAGCAGCCTAATTTGTAAAGTAAACATGCCCCTTCTAACTCTAGATTGAGGGATCCTATAAACACTTTTAAGTTATCACGAAAGGTTTCCTGGAGGAAGTGGCATCTGAACTTGAAGAGAAGCATTAATTGTGACAGGCAGATATATGAGCAATGAGTAGATTTTAGACATAGGGGAAGGCCAATATGAAGACAAAGCAGTGGGAAAGGGCATGTCACGTCCAATTTGACAGGAATGTGGACTGTAAGAAGAGGAGGACTGCTAATAAACATTAATTTAATAGCTGGAGCTTTAAATGTGAGATCTTTGTCTAATAACCAAAAAGGGAACATACTAGTAGAGGAGCTGGAATCATCATGTCTACTTCTATTATAAATGAAATGAGTAGAAAAAGGAAAAATGAAAGAATAGCTCACGAAAAGGCAAAAAAAACCCAAAACATTTGGCAGAATAGACTTTATTAAACATCAAAAGACAATAAGAAACATTATGTGATGTGACATTGAGCCATCTTGTACTTCAGTGCTCTGATTAATATGTGCAAAATTCTACCATGAAAACAATAGAACCTTATGCACCAACATCAATTGCAGATGATGAAGACGTAGAAAACTTCAACAAAGAACTCAATAAAAATCTCTCAAACTTAAATCAACTGACACTTGGTGATGTTAGTACAAAGAAAGGAATGTGAAGATGGTGAAGAAAAAAAATCAGAACGCATGAGTAAGGAAAAACTGAGAGAGGCCAGAGACTTATAGAATATATAGTTACCACAGTGAGTCAGAAAGTCACTAAGCAGGTGTTAAGTATCTACAATCTGCCTAGAACCGAGTTAAATGCTAGGGATACAAAGAAAGACTAATGACGACACCTGTTCTGAATGGGTTCCCAATTTAATGGGAAAGAAAACATGAAAACAATTATGTACAAACAAGACAAATAGGAAATAGTCAATAGAAGGAAGACACTAACATCAAGAAAGACTTATCATAAAAGGCAGAATTTTAACTGGAACTTGAAGGAAGTCAGGTAGGCCAATAGGTAGAGATAAGAAGACGTGTATTCCAAGCATAGGGAACATCCAGAAGAAATGTCAAAAGTCTAAAGATGAAGTGTCCTGGGCAAAGAACAGCAAGGAGAAAAGTGTCACTGTGTCACAAAATATACAGGACGAGGAAAATGAAAGAAAAAGAGGGGTCAAGTTGTCAAGGGTATTGTAAACCAAAACAGAGCTTTCTATTTGATCCTGAAAGTGATAGGAAAAGGAGAAAAGACCTCAAAAGCAGGGAAAGTAGTTAGGAGGCTACTTTAATGGTCTAGATGATAGGCGACAGGAGTCTAAACTAGGATTCTAGGTATGTGAATAGAAAGAAGGGGACATAGACAATACACATTGTGAAAGAAGAAATCACAATATTTGGCAACAGATGGCTATGCAGAGGAAGCTTGAGGCTTGAAGGATAACAACGAACCTGAAGGTAACTGGGAGGGTGATGGTGCTCTCAGCAGTAATAGTAAAGTTCAGAAGAGTGAAAGATTGAAGAGAAAAGATGAGTTGTTTTGGTTAACTTTGGGGTGTACACAGGACATATAGTTCAAAATACCCAAAAGATAAGCTAGAGATTCATGATTGTAGTTCAACAAAAGAGACAAAGGCTGAATTCTTAAGATCTGAGAATCATTCACAAAGAGATCATAATTGAACCCACAGGAGATGAGATAAGCAAACAATATAAAGAATAAAAGCAAAAAGGGCTGAGGACAAAGCCTTCAAGGACATCCACGGTTAGTAGACATATACAGATACAGAACCAGCAAAGAGAAATGAGAAGTCATGTAGAAAAGAAAACAAGAATAAAGTAGTAAGATGAAAGCCTAGAGAGAGGAGTATCCAAGTGGAAAAGGTGATTAACCGTGTCAAATGCTATAGAAAGGTCAAGAAGAACAAGGACTGAGAAAAGGCCATTATATTTGAAAATCAAGAGATCACTCATAATTTTGGAAAGGGTTGCCTCAGTTTGAATGATAAGGACAAAAAGCCAGGCTTCTGAATTTTAGAAGAGAATGAGAGAAAAGGAAACAGCCAGTATTAATGGCATATGTCTAGAAGGGGAATTGCTGGGTCAATGGACATAGCTATGTTAGTCACTTTTTGTGCCTAATTGCAAATTTTTCTGTTAATAGTTGTACTAATTCTAGGTCAATTAATATAGCTATTTCAGCCATCTAACTTGCATAATTACAAATTACTTTCCTGAACTGTTGTACCAATTCACAGCTCCACCAATAATATCTTAATACACTGGCCTTCCTAAAACCTCTCTAGTAATGCCTACCCCTAATTTTTCTATCCTTACTAATTTTCTTGATAGGATAGGAAAATTCAAGGTTGTTTAGATTTGCATTTCTCATTATTATTTACTGGGAACATTCTTTTATATTATTGGTAATCATTGGCAATTCATCTTTTGAGAACTGTTTATTCGTAACCTCTATTTCTCTATTGAGATTTTTACATGTGTTATTTGTCAATATATATTGGATATCAAACCCCCAGTAAAGTATTTGATACACAAATATTTTCTTCTTAAACTAAATGTGTTCATTTTGTGCAAAAACTTTTCACTTCACTTGATGAAAATTATCTAATTTATCATTTGTAATTCCCTCCACCCCTTGTTTGGTTAAGAATATTATACTCAAAATTGCAAAAGGTAGGTAGTCAGCTCTCACTTAAAAGGACTGGATCCTAGGAATTTCCAAAAATGAAGTCATTAATGATAAATAAAAATACAGTTTTAACAATGTTAAGACAAATTTATAAGACCAAAACTTATTCATGATGGCTTTATTTATAGCCAAAGGCTATCAATAAACAGTTCTAAAAAAGAATTACAGGCTATTGAAAGCCATGTAAATGATACAAAGCAAAACAACTGAGATTTTACCTCACACCACAAAAATCAACAAGCATAACAAAAAATGAAAATGGTCAATGTGGGGGGGGGGGAGAAACCACATTATTACAGTGCTAGTGGAGCTGTTAATTTATACAAATATTCCAGAAACCAATATGGAATTATGCTAAGAAAGTAAATAACTCATAAACTATGTATAAGAAATGATAGTTTAAGATTTGCACAGTACTTCATAGTTTTTCTCATTTGATACTCACAACAATACTATATGACATAGGTATAATCTCAATTTTACATATGGATGACAAAACTGAAGCAGAAAAGACTTAAGAAATTCCCCTGCTAGGCAGAAACATAAAGAAAATCAAAGATAGAAAGAACAGTACCATATACAACAAAGTATTTCTGAAAGGGCTTTATATGGTGACAGAGAAGGGGGAAAGGGCTGAACGAGGGTAGATCCCGAAGCAATAAAAATAGCTAAAGAAACTATGATGACATTAATTTACTGAAAGATTACTATAAAATAAACAAGGAGAAACATCATGAATATGAGGAAGCATGGGAGGACATATAAACTAATAGAAAAATGTCACAAGAACCAGCAAATCAACATATCCTATCAATGCAAGGTAAATGTAAACAAAAATAACAAATACTGAATTCAAATGCTGTGTAATTTTAATTACCAACCTTGGTCCTGAAGAACAGAAATAAAAATGTACCTCCCTCCCTCCCTCCCTGCTTGGTAGAGATGGGAGATTTAGATCACGAAAATAATATATAGTATACAATTTGATAGATGTTTTAATTTTGTTTAAATACTTTTTTATTTTATATTCTTCATTGAATGGGAAGGCTGAGGTAATGTAAAAACAAAGGTTGATACATGAACTTAAAAAATTAAAATTGTTTTAGGGGTAGAAAAGCAGACTGGAGAGAATTATGGAAGAAATGAAAAAGAGAACTATAACTATTCTCTATAGCAGAAACACAATTCTACTCTCCAGTATAGATCTCTCATTTCTTTTGTAAATCTGCTACTTAGTTTCCTAAGAATTTTTTTCCTCATGCCTTTTTTCCTGCACAATTATATCAACCAGACTTCTCTATAAATCACTTCGTGCATTTGCTCACTTTGAAAGATCTACCCTATTAATAAAAGATATTTTTCATTATTTAAGCCAGTACTTTTATTTTCACAGTTAATATCTGAATGCTTCAATGATCTAAGGTCCTTTGGTATGACTCACCATTTAAGGAACAAATCAACAACCCCTTCAACTTCTTAGCTGAGGTCTAAAAGCAGACATAACTGCAGCAGCTAGCAGCCAACTCTCT